TGCAGGATTCAATCGGGCTCGTGGTCCGCAATAGACCGAAAAGCTAATCAATAGGTGAAAGCAAATCAATGCAAAGTGAACCGTAAAGAATTAGCGGCTTATTCATATCAATTGCCACAGCGCAGCCGGTGGTTGACGTGAACGCAGCATATATATTCCGCAAAGATATTCATCAAAATTAGTTCAACATTGTGTCATGTCTGTCGCACCGAAGTCCGTGTCGTAAAAGAAAAGGGGTAGGTGAATGATCGCCACAGTACCAGATATTAGGCCTGGCGGCAACGTCCGATAGGGTGGTAGCAGCATCCGAGGTGACTGCAGCATCCGAGGTAGGAGTCGAAGGAGTATCCGAAGTAGGGGCAGGAGCAGCAACCGAGGTGACAGCATTAGTGGTGGGATAAACAATAGCTGATGTGGCAGGAGCAGGACGACGGTAGGGACAACAGAGGCATCTGATGTGGTCCCATACGATGTCGCAGCATGGGCAACAGGAGCAGCTGACGTAGAAGCAGTCGAAGCAGTCGAAGCAGTCGAAGCAGTATACGATGCTGGCGAGGCTCGAAGCACCTGACGAGCCTGACGACGAGCCATTTCCAGTGACGGTGATCTGCTTAGCCTTGCTGTAGATATCGAGGCCAGTGTCGTAGTTGCCATTAAACTCGCCAATGGGTAGGGTAGTTGGAGCCATAGTTGGCAATCGTCATCTCCTTGCCTGTGAACGACTTTGAGGATCCTGAGATTGAGACATCAGCACAATCCATGTAGAACTCGCGGTTGCCAACAGCATTAACCCACGACCAGGCAAACACAGCGTGATCGGTGCTAGGCAGATCCGAAGGCAGGTTGAAGGTGTAGCTAAGAGTGTTTGCGGTGTTGCTGGATGAAGCACTGCCAACAAAGCAGTACTTCAGTTCCTGGTGGATGACGACAAAGGTCTTGCCGCCATCGTACGACAGCGAGAACTCGCAGTGGCCACCGCCGTGAGCAGCACCTCCTTGAGCGAACTTGACGGTGATGGACTGACCGGCAGTCCACTTCTCGTTGACCTGAGGCCAGGCGGTCTGCGAGTGGCACAGAGGGAGCGAGAATATCACCGCCAGAGCCGATTGGGCTGGCCAGATTGTAGTTGAGAGACTCGCCAGGAGGAAGTTCCGGAGTGGTTGCGCAGTGAGGCGAGAAACGGGGGCAAGGGTAGTTGATTTGCATGTGCGCCGAGGCAGCAGCAGCAAGAATCATAAACGATGCGACAGGTCTTTGCGAGCATTGTGGTATGTCGTGTGTATGCGGAGACGTGAAGAAGGAGGATGGAAGAGGGGTGATGAGGGGATGGAAAAAACGATAATAGAGGAAGCCAGCTTCAATAGGGATTCTGCATTCCCAGGTGGCAGGCGTCTGGTTTAAATACCTGATCTGGCGGTCTTGCTAGCATCAATAGACTAGCTGGACAATTCTCTCACTCGCGCATCCCGGTTCACACTCGTCCACAATAGAGACAATACGTGATCTCCCGCGCCAACCTCGGGCACTTGCCAATAATTGGAGCTCGCTGTCGATCTGACATCCAATTTTAGAAAGACTGTGGGCCAAAGCATAGTGTGAATGCGAACCAGATGCATCCCCATTGTTCCATCTATGTATCCCAGACCCAAAGCAGAAAACGGGGTTGTGGTGGGGCAAAAAATTAGCGGATGCTCAACTTTAGCTTCATTTGTGTTTGAAGGAACAGCTCGACCACCGACCGCTTATCCACATTCAGGCCTCAAGCAATGGAAGAGCCGACAACGATTCACAAACCGATTACTGATGCACTAGCCCCAGCATAAAAACATCCAATTTAAAGAGGACGGTGCTTTGCTGGTCAACTAGTGTGCAATTTCTCAAAGGGTTTCGCACATCAACGGCTGCGAAGCAAGCGAAGCTAGGTGGGTTTTGCTATCATGGCTATTAGTGAGGAGCAGGATGCCAAACATGAGCTGTGTATCACAATGAATCGTGTATGGCAACTAAAAAATCAAGGTGCAGCTTTCCCATCCACAGTGGTTGTGATTGCAGCTTCATGATTTCTAGTAACAGTGATTCGGTATTCACCATGGCAATCTGCAGAGATGACGGCACAATCCACAACGCCATATGTATCCTTGTCAATCTCTGCTTGTAATTGATTGTCCACACTAGATCCAATAACAAGCAGGCTGGGAAAACACTCAACAAGTAGAGATCATAGTCGGAGAGCAACTTTTTGTTTCAAATAGATGCGATAGGTTGGGGTTAGCTAGTAGGTCCAACTATTTGATGGGTGGTGAGCTATTTGCTATAAGTAATATAATGCGGAGATATCTGTATTGGAGATACTGCGCTTGACGCACCGTATATGATTGCTGAACACCACATACATGCCATATCTCTAGAGTACTCTCTCATTTCCAGTCTGCATTTGGGAGGGATATAATAGAATTCGATCAAGCAAATCGACTATTTACTTTATTCATGTCATAAAGTCTATATTCGAAAAAGGTGGATGAAAGGCATCACAACAAGAGATATCAGAGACTTAAAGGTACACCAGGTAACTGAGGTAGCAATGCCACTCTACTGGGCCCAGCCGCAGTAGATGGAGGTACCGTCCTGATTGCAAACAGTGCGCGATGGGCAGTAGATGGTGCTAGACCAGGCACCATTGACGCATTGCAAGAAACCCTTGCTGTCCGGGCTGCACTTGTACTCGTTACCGCTGTAGGATCCGCCAGAGGGAGGGGCAGCCGAAGTAGGGGCAGGTACAGCAGGGGTATGGCCGGCACGGGTACGAGTATGGCTGTGGATACGAGTCGATGTGCTAGTGGGGACAGCTGTGGGAGCAAGAGCAGATGAGGTAGAGACAGGGGGCGACAGTAGTGATTGGGGCAGCAGAGGTAGAAGCTGGAGCGGCAGAGGACGACGAACCAGACGAACTAGACGAACTAGATGACGAGCCATTTCCAGTGACGGTGATCTGCTTAGCCTTGCTGTAGACATCGAGGCCAGTGTCGTAGTTGCCATTGAACTCGCCAATGGTAGGGTAGTTGGAGCCATAGTTGGCAATCGTCATCTCCTTGCCTGTGAACGACTTTGAGGATCCTGAGATTGAGACATCAGCACAATCCATGTAGAACTCGCGGTTACCGACAGCATTAACCCACGACCAGGCAAACACAGCGTGATCGGTGCTAGGCAGATCCGAAGGCAGGTTGAAGGTGTAGCTAAGAGTGTTTGCGGTGTTGCTAGACGAAGCACTGCCAACAAAGCAGTACTTCAGTTCCTGGTGGACGACGACAAAGGTCTTGCCGCCATCGTACGACAGCGAGAACTCGCAGTGGCCACCGCCGTGAGCAGCACCTCCTTGAGCGAACTTGACGGTGATGGACTGACCGGCAGTCCACTTCTCGTTGACCTGAGGCCAGGCGGTCTGCGAGTGGCACAGAGGAGCGAGAATATCACCGCCAGAGCCGATTGGGCTGGCCAAATTGTAGTTGAGAGACTCGCCAGGAGGAAGTTCCGGAGTGGTTGCGCAGTGAGGCGAGAAACGGGGGCAAGGGTAGTTGATTTGCATGTGCGCCGAGGCAGCAGCAGCAAGAATCATAAACGATGTGACAGTCTTTGCGAACATTTTATATCGTGGTGCGAGTGATATTTGACGACAAACGAGTGGGCGTGGGAGGCGGGGTGGATCGTGAGCGAGGCGTGAAGAAAAACGTGTTAAAATGCGATTAGAAGAAACCAGCTTCTGTAGTGAATCTAACAACCCGGATTGCAGCCAGCACCGGGATTTATATAGCTACCTGATGCGTGCAACACACAATGCCAAGGGCTCTTCTATGGGCTCGTTCTCTGCATGTCACTGTCGGTTGAAAAACGGACATCGTCATCCAACCAAGAGCCACTCATCCATGGGGGTTAAATAAATTGTCAATCGCTTGGCTGTATACGCAGCGTACCAATAGGTTCCGTCTACATTCTCTAGAACTCCATCTGTTGCCTCCGCTGCCCGGGTGTGCGCAACCAAAGCTGGAAAGCCGATTTGCTGCCATCCCTCTCATGCGCGAGCAATTGGGGAGGCGTGTGAGGCTTTTGTGCTCTGTAGGCGTCGGATTTGGGAACGCATGGCCCGGATCTGTTTGTCGCCTGCAGCCTAACCAGCACATCCTTGGCGGCCGATCAACTACCAAATCCTTTTCTGAAGCTGTCCGCCAGGGATTAGACGCGGCAGCGCAGCTACTGTATTTTGATGCCGACACGCATGGCAGCTTTTTATACCTGAGCGCCTTGCCCCACCTTGCACACAGCAACTTTTATCTTGCAAGCGCGTGTAGAAGTGAACCCAGAAATCAAAAGGGCTGTGCGCTAGCTAACACGCTTATAAGGAAAGGCCCATCCTATGACAGCAGCGACAGCATTGGGGCCGAGACGTGCCTGCCAGCTTCCACCTGGCACAGGCGCTTTTTCGACACACACAAACGGTGGTCATAGGGCGGGCGTAAAATATCTCGCCGAGCCTGTCATGCAAATCCCGGCCTCTTTTTCGTCTCTTTTCCGACGCATTACCGCCTTCATCCTATTTGTTCACGGGATTCAGTCTGCACAGCACAGTGGCGTTCATAGATTCTACTTTTGCGCCAATTGCCACGCATCCTTGCTGTTCGCAGCATGCCGAGTGGTTGGTGGCGAGGAGAAGGGACACATTCGATTGGGCGGCTTTCTTTTTGTTTTGGGTAGACTATGGCAACAAAGGCACTCACAGAGAGAAGCAGTGCTGGGTCAGCCAGCGTCTACATAAAAACGCATGTACTGACGTGACTACTCGTCAATCATGGGTTTACAGTGGCTATTCGCCGCTATTGGATATAGCGAGTTGCCTCATCAAGGGCGGTTGTGAATGCCAGTCCAGTCCTCCGCAACCGTTCAGGAGCAGCCTTGATTGGGGAAGAGCACCCTGTCAGTGGAACGCGCAGAGCCCTGCTTCCTTCCCACCTGGTTCATAGTGCTGCCCCGCAGTCATCAAATCGGATCCATACCACATTGTTGCTGATGTATTAACAGCTAAAGTCATCAATATAGACAGTGCTACTTCTCGGGGGAGGGGGAGGCAGTGCTGTAGCTATCCCGAATATCCAGGGCCAGTGACGGTGACCGAAGTGGTGTTGGTCGTGTAGTATTCGAGACCAGTGTTGTAGTTGCCAAGGAATTCAGGGATGACAGGATAGCCAGGGCCATAGTTGGCGATGGTGACCTTCTTGCCAGTGTATGATCCAGCTGAGCCCTTGATAGCCACATCCGCGCACTGGTTATAGAACTCGCGGTTTCCAACAGCATTGACCCAGGTGAAGGCGAACACAGCATGGTCGGTGCCCGGCAAGTTTGCAGGCAGATTGAATGTGTAGCTGCGCACCGAGTCTGTGCCACCTTGGGATGGCGGGCCGTCAAAGAAACAGTACTTGAGCTGCTGGTTCAACACAACAAAGGTATTGCCGCCATCGTAAGAGATGGAGAACTCGCAGTGGCCGCCTGAATGGGTGGTTCCGGAGGGGTAAAACTTCACGGTTAAGGACTGGCCAGCAGTCCACACTTCGTTGACCTGCGGCCAGGGCGTGTTGTGGTGGCAGATAGGCGCTAGGATGCTGCCGTTGGAGCCGATTGGGCTGCTGAGGTTGTAGTCGATGGATTCGCCTGGTGGGAGGGTGGGGCGGGTTGCGCAGTGAGGTGAATAGCGTGGGCATGGGTAGGAGATTTGCATGTGGCCCAGGGCAGCAGTGGCCAGAGCAAGTAGTGACGAGGTGGTTTTGAACAGCATTGCGATTAAAGGGGGTTGCACACGGCCAGCGTAGAGAGCAGAGGGGGTGGTAATTGTCGAGGTTGGGTCTTCAAGGGCAGGTCCTTTTTCCGCAGGTATTTATATACCAGTTGTCGGATCCATGACCCGTATATACTTGCAACATCATTAATAATTCATTCTAGTATTGAATTTCCACATACACTCCATGCATGGAATTCCCGGAGCAATGCCATGTGGAGAAACCAAAACCAGCCAACCGCGAGATGAGTATAGGCTCGGTGTTTTGTTTCATGCGTCGGTGGAATATTCCCACCACAAGTCATATGCACAAAGCAGGAATCGATGTTGGCTATATTCAAGCTTTCATGATACGACTTCCCTTAATTCAGAAGTGTAGAAAAATATATGCGCCGCATGTGCAGATATCAATGCGCTAGGATGATTTGCAGGCGTCTGCCCACATGATACAAACAAGGAGCCGACTAGCAGAAACCTCATCGTTCCCGCCATTCTGTCTGCTGAAGTGGAGGGGTAAGTGGATCATTGTGCATCATCTGAACCTTATCCATTTACTGCCACACATTTGCGGATTCAGTGCATATATCTGCATGCCAGCCCACAAAACACACGTCCGCATACTTTTTGTCCTGATGACTACATAGTATGGTAGGCGATGTGAAAGACGCATGGCCAGCACGCCTCATGTTTATTCGCAAATACAAATGGGAGCAGGATGGTAAAACAAGTTAAACTCCGCAAACATGGCACAATTATCCGTCGAAGCCTGGCCCACTGACTGTGACCTGGGTACCGCCCGTGTAGTAGGAAATGCCAGTTTCGTAGTTGCCAAGGAATTCTGGAATGACCGGATATCCAGCGCCGTAGTTTGCAATCGTGACCTTCTTGCCAGTGTAGGATCCAGCTGCGCCCTTAATGGCAATATCACCGCAGTTGCTGTAGAACTCGCGGTTGCCGACGGCGTTGACCCATGACCACAGGAAGGTGACACGGGGAGCACCTGGCAGATTGGCAGGCAGATTGAAGGCGTAGGTACGCACCGAGTCCGTACCGCCCTGAGATGGTGCACTGGTGAAGAAGCAGTAGCGCAAGCGCTGGTACAGGACAACGAAGGTCTGGCCGCCGTCGTAGGAGACAGAGAACTCGCAGTGGCCACCCGAGTGAGTGGCACCACCTGACTGGAACTGCACGGAAACAGTCTCGCCGGCAGTCCAGACCTCGTTAGCCTGCGGCCAAGGCGTGTTGTGGTGGCAGATAGGTGAATTAATATTGCCATTGGAACCAGCGGGTGCGTTCAGGTTGTAGTCGAATGATTGACCTGGTGGCAGAGTGGGGCGGGTGGCGCACTTGGAGGAGTAGCGTGGGCAGGGGTAGGTGATCTCCATATGGCCCAGCACAGCTGTAGCCAAAGTAAGGAGGGCGGTGACGGACTTGAGAAGCATGGACGATTAGTAGAGTATTGATTCCGACGAGGTAGTGTTAGTTTGTAAGATGAATATTGTCGTGGTTTGTAGGGCGATATTTGCTCAGACAGTCCAAACATACTCATGCTTTTATATAGCTGCCAGATTCATGGTGCAGCCTCATTACCAACTATGCCAAATATTTCGTAAGAAGAGAACCTTCCACTGGTACATTCGGCAAGATTTGCATCCACGATGTAGACATTACCAGCTCCGAGCAAATGTCTAAGGCAGGACAAGGGCAGACATGGCAAGCCATGTGCCCACCTCGCACGGCTTGTGGTGGAGTTGGTCTATACACCGAAAAGAATGTTTGTGGAGGGCCAGAACGCAGGCTTGATTGTGTTCCTTGGTTGGCCTTTTTCGAAAAGCATAAAAGAAGCTTCCGTATAGAACATAACATCCAACCTGCAGCATTTCGTGGGGGGGTTGAAGGTGCACTGATGGGCGACAAAAAATTGTGCATGTATGCTCACATGGCATACTACAACGAAAAACAGACCGGTAGGGATTTGCATTTGCACGGTTTTTGCGGACATCGCGGCCCGTTTAAAAATGCGCGTATTTCGCTACAGAAGCTTATATATGCATAGCGATGATTAACATACAACAAGGATAATGCGGGCGTGTAAGGTAGATCCGGAAGTTGCATTTGCAATTGATATATTCTTCTTCTTCGGCGCAGTTTCGATGCGAAATCCATGTGATTTTTTTCTCCAATTCCCTTATTGCCTCAGTGGAGTAAAATACGCCAGTATCTGCAATGCTTGTTCGAGTTTGTTATTAGCTATCAATGGTGGATTTACGTTCATAAAGGGCATTAGTACTTTGGGGAATTTTCACGGCCAGCTGCAATAGACAGATGTGCCGCTCTGATAGCAGATAGTTCCGGCAGCACACAGTTGGGAGGATCCCCAAACGCCACCCGAGCAATACTGGTACCCGGACTTGTCGGGTGAGCACTGGTACGTGCCGCTTGTGCACGAGCCGCCGCCCGAGGTTGTCGATGAGGTCGGCGCAGCCGACGTCGTCGTGGTAGGATGGGCCGAGGTAGTGGTGATGGGGGGAGCCGAGGAGGTCGAAGTAGGTGCCGCCGAAGTAGTAGTTGTGCCGCCAGAGAAGCCTGGCCCGCTAACCGTGACTTGCGTGCCATTGGTGTAGTAGGAAATGCCAGTTTCGTAGTTGCCAAGGAATTCTGGAATGACCGGATATCCAGCGCCGTAGTTTGCAATCGTGACCTTCTTGCCAGTGTAGGATCCAGCTGCGCCCTTAATGGCAATATCACCGCAGTTGCTGTAGAACTCGCGGTTGCCGACGGCATTGACCCATGACCACAGGAAGGTGACACGGGGAGCACCTGGCAGATTGGCAGGCAGATTGAAGGTGTAGGTACGCACCGAGTCCGTACCGCCCTGAGATGGTGCACTGGTGAAGAAGCAGTAGCGCAAGCGCTGGTACAGGACAACGAAGGTCTGGCCGCCGTCGTAGGAGACAGAGAACTCGCAGTGGCCACCCGAGTGAGTGGCACCGCCTGACTGGAACTGCACGGAAACAGTCTCGCCGGCAGTCCAGACCTCGTTAGCCTGCGGCCAAGGCGTGTTGTGGTGGCAGATAGGTGAGTTAATATTGCCATTGGAACCAGCGGGTACGTTCAGGTTGTAGTCGAATGATTGACCTGGCGGCAAAGCGGGGCGGGTGGCGCACTTGGAGGAGTAGCGTGGGCAGGGGTAGGTGATCTCCATATGGCCCAGCACAGCTGTGGCCAAAGTAAGGAGGGCGGTGGCGGACTTGAGGAGCATTAAAAAGGTAGGGATGGATCGTTAAATATGAATATCTGCTGATAGTGTCTGTTTGGTGAAGGCAATTGTCGGTGTTTATATAGCCGAGCAATTCTACGGACATACACGGCCTTGCTTGCAGGCTGAGCGGCGCGTATACAAGAGATGGACTTTTAAGGTGGCAGCAAACAAGACATGCAAAATGCATGGAAGGAGGCATAGAATATGGATATGACCTTGGTACAGGATGTCAACTGGGTATTTCCTGTCAGCGGGCAAACCTGCAAGATGCAAGGGGGCCAGGACTCGATGTTGGCAGCAACAATTTACACATCCACCATACATGGGAATATGCCGGCTAGATACTGGAGTGGTTCGGTTCGAGAATTGCGAGCCGGCAGACCGCCTGCGACTGGTCGTGAGACGGGAATCCAAAAAATTTTCATTCTGCTGGGGGTGGCCACAGGCTCGGGACATGTCCGATTAGTTGAGCGCAACGAGGCGTCCGTCCCAGCCGTAGCCAGCCTCTCTTTTCTTCCTTGCCTTTTCATTTTCTTTCTTTTCCAAGGGAAAAAACCTACTCCATATTCTAATTTCTTCCAAAGCCTCATCTTTCAAGGAAAGCGCTATTGAAAATGACTTCAACCGAGTGGACTGCCAAGCACGTTCGCGAGACGTTTATCGGGTTCTACGAGCAGCACGGGCACACGTTTGTTCCGTCGTCGTCGACGGTGCCGCACGACGACCCGACGCTGCTGTTTGCCAACGCTGGCATGAACCAGTACAAGCCGATTTTCCAGGGCACTGTTGATCCGGCGTCTGATTTCGCCAAGCTGCACCGCGCGTGCAACAGCCAAAAGTGCATTCGTGCGGGTATGTTATGCAAACTGATTTGTTGCTTGCTCGGAAAAGTCCGGGCATGAGTGGCTGCGGGGAGGCAGTAGTGACACACAAGAATGCTATGCATAGGGGGCGCAGGCCGCCGTGGGGAGGGGGTAGATTTCTGATTTGTCACCAGGATTGATGTGACTCAGGAAAAGGAAATATTTGTATCGTGTAGGCGGCAAGCACAACGACCTGGACGATGTGGGCAAGGACGTGTACCACCACACGTTCTTTGAGATGCTGGGGAACTGGTCGTTCGGCGACTATTTCAAGAAGGAGGCGATTGGGTATGCGTGGGAGCTGCTGACCAAGGTGTACAGGCTTGACCCGGAGCGGCTGTACGTGACGTACTTTGGGGGCAGCGAGGCGGATGGGCTGCCGGTGGACACTGAGGCAAAGCAGTACTGGCTGGACCTGGGCGTGCCGGAGTCGCGGGTGCTGCCGTTTGGCTCAAAGGAGAACTTTTGGGAGATGGGCGAGGTGGGCCCGTGCGGGCCGTGCAGCGAGATCCACTACGACCGGATTGGCGGTCGCGACGCGGCGAGCCTGGTGAACCTGGACGACCCGGATGTCCTGGAGATCTGGAACCTTGTGTTCATGGAGTTCAACCGCGAGTCGGACGGGTCGCTGCGCAGCCTGCCGCGCAAGCACATTGATACGGGCATGGGCATGGAGCGGCTGGTGTCGGTTCTGCAGGGCAAGCGGTCGAACTACGACACGGATGTGTTTATGCCGCTGTTTGCGGCGATCCAGGAGCTGACGGGGGCGCGGCCGTACACGGGCAATGTGGGGGCGGACGACACCGACGGCATCGACATGGCGTACCGCGTCATCGCCGACCACATCCGCACGCTGACATTCGCGATTGCCGACGGCGGTGTGCCATCGAACGAGGGTCGCGGGTATGTCCTGCGGCGGATCCTGCGGCGCGGCGCTCGGTACGCGCGGCGCAAGTTCAACGTGGAGCTGGGCAGCTTCTTCGCGCGGCTGGTGGACACGGTGGTGGAGAACATGGGCGATATGTTCCCGGAGATCACCAAGAGCACCGATCTGATCAAGGAGATTCTGTGCGAGGAGGAGGAGAGCTTTGCGCGGACGCTGGACCGCGGCGAGCGTCTGTTTGAGCAGACGGTGGCGAAGATGGGCGGCAGCAAGACGATGCCGGGGGCGTCGGTGTGGCGGCTGTACGATACGTACGGGTTCCCGGTGGATCTGACGCGCATCATGGCGGAGGAGAGCGGGCTGGTGGTGGACGAGGCGGAGTTTGAGCGCGAGAAGCAGAAGGCGCGCGATCTGTCGAAGCGCAAGAAGGGCAGCAGCGGCAGCGGACAGGGCGTTGCGCTGGACGTGCATGCGATTGGCGAGCTGAATGCCCGCGGGGTGGCCAAGACCGACGACTCGCCCAAGTACTCGAGCCGGTCGGTGGAGGCCAAGGTGCTGGCGGTGTTCACGGGCAACGGCTTCGCGGACGCCGAGGAGCGCTCGCTGGCGACCCACCCGGAGGATGCGCCGGTGGTGGGCGTGGTGCTGGACCGCACTGCATTCTATGCTGAGCAGGGCGGGCAGGAGTACGATACCGGCTCGCTGGTGAGCTCGGATCTGTCGTCCGAGTTCACGGTCGAGGACGTGCAGGTGTATGGCGGGTACGTTCTGCATACGGGCTTCCTCAAGTACGGAGCGCTGCGTGTGGGCGACAGCGTCGAGGCCCAGTACGATGTGCTGCGGCGGCTGCCCATCCGCAACAACCACTCGGCCACGCACGTGCTGAACTTTGCGCTGCGGCAGGTGCTGCGCGCCGAGGAGCCGGACCAGCGCGGCTCGCTGGTGGCGCCGGACCGCCTGCGGTTCGACTTTGCCTGCAAGGCGGCGATTTCGGCCGAGCATGTGCGCGACATCGAGGCGCTGACCAACCAGATCATCAAGCAGAACCTGAAGGTGTACGCGCAGGAGGTGCCTCTGGATATGGCGCGGCAGATCAGCGGCCTGCGCGCTGTGTTTGGCGAGGTGTACCCGGACCCGGTCCGTGTGGTGTCGATTGGCGCTGACCTGGACCAGGTGCTGAAGAACCCGGAGAACGCCGAGTGGGAGAACTACTCGATTGAGTTCTGCGGCGGCACGCACGTGGCCGGCACTGCCGACATGAAGGTTTTTGTGATCACCGAGGAGTCGGCCATCGCCAAGGGCGTGCGTCGCATTGTGGCCGTGACCGGTCCCGAGGCCTCCAAGGCCCAGCTGCTGTACCAGTCGCTGCAGGCCGAGGTGGCCAAGCTCAAGCAGCTGTCGGGTGCTGAGCTGGATCACGAGATCAAGCGCCTGGCCAAGGAGCTCGATGCGGCAGCCATTGGCGTCTACGACAAGCACGTGCTGCGCAGCGAGTTCGATGCGATCCGCGCGGCGCACGTGGAGGCCGAGAAGCTGGCCAAGGCGCAGGCGGCCAAGCAGGCGGTGGAGCTGGTGCAGAAGCTGATTGAGGAGAGCCCCGAGCAGGACGTCTTTGTGGTCGAGCTGCCGGCTGCTGGCAAGGCCATGAGCCAGGTGGCCACCTTCGTCAAGGGCTTGAAGTCCAAGGCCGTGTATCTGCTGGCCGTCGATGGCGCCCGCGTGGCCCACCAGTGCGTGGTGCCCAAGACGCTTGTGCAGCGCGGGCTCAAGGCCGGCGAGTGGGCCGACGCCGTCAGCAAGATCGTCGGCGGCAAGAAGGGCGGCAAGGACGAGTCTGCCCAGGGCAGCGGAACCGAGACCGCCCGTGTTGCCGAGGCCGTCGCTGCCGCCGAGGAGTTCGCCAAGACGCATCTGAACTAGAAAAGCTAAACATATATTGAGGAAATTGAAGAAACTTTTGTCCAAACCACGCTTTACTCAGCCTTGGGGCTACCGGTGCTCTTGCCCGGCGCATCGTCCAGGAAATGCACGCCATCGTCCGGGTGCTGCTGCTGCTGCTGCTGCTGCTGCTGCTGCTGTTGCTGCTGTGGTGACTTGCTGCCGGTGGCCGGTGTGGCAAAGTCGCTGGTAGCGTCGTCCCAGCTGAAGTCGAACAGCCCGTTCTGCCGCTGCTGCGGCGTCGAGGTGCCTGTCGTGGGCGTCACCGACATGTCGTCTTTGCGAGCTGCCTGCTTGCGCGCTGCCTCGCCGCCGGTGCCCAGGAACTCCATCGGCGAGATTGCATTGAGCTTTGCCATCGTACCGGGCGTCGGCGGATTGAACGAGTACTTGGACGGCCGCCGCTCCATCGCTGGCGGCTGGTCTTCCACCGCCTCGTCTGCGGGCTTGTGTAGCCTGGCCCTGACGCGCTGCCGGATCGCCTGCTCCGCCTTATGCATGGTGTCGTGGAATGCGCTGCCGATGCCCGAGGTCGACTCGTCGGCGGGTGGTCCGCCTGCGACGCGCGTCTTGGAGAACTCGGGGTAGATCTTGGGGCCCAGCTCGTTGACCAGATCCGTGATGTCAGTCGCCAGCTCCTCGCGCTGCCGCACCAGCAGCTCGGTGTGCTCCTGCCCCAGAATCAGCGTCAGGAACAGCGGCCGCACCGACTTGACAATGTCCATCGCCTGCTCTCCGAATATCAGCGCAGTGTAGCTCGCCAGCGCCGCCAGCGCATACGCCGCGCAGTATAGCTGCATGCCGGACCACGTGCCCACAAACGACAGACTCGAGGGCACGTGCTGCGGCGAGCGACGCACATACCACACCGCCAGCAGCGACGCAACCATATACAGGAACGGCACCAGCCCAAGCGCAATCAGGATCTTCCAGGTCGCAATCACATCACGCGCACGCACCTTCACCGTCGATGCTGCCAGCGCCGCCCGCGCCTTGCGCTTGCTGACGATGCCCGTGATCACAAACACCGGTATGTTCAGCACCACGCCCGGCAGTGCAGCCGCCCCCATCAGCAGCAGCCACACCAGCCGCCACAAGAACAGCATCCCAGCCTCCGACCGCCCAATCTGCATTGTCTCCACCTGGTGGTCCCGGATCCCGTAGTACCGCAGCTGCGTGTTGTAGTCCTCCACGCGCTCCGCCAGATCCCGCACCTCCGGCAGGTCCTTGTACACGCTGTATCCCTTGATGAACCGCCGCGTCAGCTCCACCTGCTGCGCCATGCTCAGCGAGTGCTGCGTTGGCTTGTACAGCCG